CACAGTAAAATTGAATGGAATCAAAACAAGTTTGAGAGTTTGGAGCAAATAAAGAGAATTACTTCAGTTTTGCAATTCTAGATATGCTCAAAAAATCTAATATCACAGCGGAGACCAAACAAGTTATAGGTTGGGTTTTATTTCCTCCTCTACTAGCTGAGCGATTTTCGTGCTAATCAAAAATAGATTTGATTTTCATAGAAAACGTAGACACGAAATCCAAAAATCCCACGAAAATCGAACTTGCTCTCGATTACCTTGAATTTTGCTCCGAAAGTCCCACGAAATCAAATCTGCCCTTAATTACCAAGAATTTTGCTAAGATAGAAAGGAGAGGTCATAAACCGTATGTGTATGACTGTTCCGTTTTCTGCTGTGACGTTTATAGGTTTTTTGGGCATGCTTAAAGTTTGCAAAAGCGATTCCCTTCATTCATTGTTCAATTCGCGCACTTTCTCATTTCAGTGCAAAGGACTATAATAAAGCGCATGATGTTTTCTTTTACACGAATATTTAGGCTTTCTCGTGATCCTGCACAAAAACGCTTATATAGAGTGATCTTCTTCAGTTGCTTCCAACTGTCTTCTTAAACTAGTTCATTGAAAAGGTACTCCTACAAAGAAAATGCCTTTTTAAAACAGAAATTATTTGAAGGAATTCCACTGAGATGCAAATAAGTTAATAATTTTGAAAAAGTGGCAAACGACCTTTCGACCTACCTGTATATCAGTGGCGGACAGAGGGGGGAAAATTTTGAAAATTACTTATATAGGTTACAAAAATGCGCAGGTGGCTTATTTATTCTTGTAAGCAATTAAAATAATTTTTGAAAATTTTTAAAAATTCAAATTAGCTCTATAAAGATTTTTTCGGGGGCGTGGCGTCAGCCACGCTCCCTTTTTCCAGATTTTAGGGGTTGGGGCCCGCAAAAATTTTGAGAAGCACCCCAAAAAAATTTTTGGAGTGCATGGCTAACGCCACGCACTTTCATTGAAAAATTTTTTGCCCCCCCCCCCCCGGTCCGAAATCCTGGGACCGCCACTGCTGTATATATATCACTAGATGGCAAACCCGGCTCCGCCCGGGGCCAAACTTTGCACACATACACTTCGGGGCAGGGAGCGTGTCATAGTCCACTTTTCGTTATCGATCGATGTCGATTTCACCGATTTTTTGCAAATTTTGAGCTACGGGGCTGGGATTTTGCACAGGGGGGTAATCGAGCATGCTGAACACCCCCACGGGGGTGATCAGCATGCTCGATTACCCCCCTGTGCCAACTCCCAGCCCTGTAGCTCAAATTTTGCAAAAAATCGATAAAATCGATATCGATCGATAACGAAAAGTAGCCTATGACACGCTCCCTGCCTCGAAGTATATGTGTGCCAAGTTTGGTCCCGATCGGTTCAGAAATAAAAATTTCTATTCCGCACATACGTACAGACAGACAGACAGACATACATACAGACATTCAGCTTTATATATAAGATAATGGCTTCCTTGAGAAGCTGTCTGTCATCCAGATCCAATAAGGGCTCAGACCGATAAGATACAAGCTACATAGACTTGGGGTACTTCGTATATGAGCAGTATCTAGTTGCAGGGCAGGAAATGTCGAGTATTTTCTGAACGCCTTTCCTGCAACTCTCTAACAATTGAAGAGTTTATTTTAAACCTTTACGCCTGTACCTTTGGAGCAATGGGTTTACAGCGAGCTTGCACTGTTTTTGTTTTCCCAGAAGTCTGAGGGCATTGTTCGATAAAGCAAGGCAAGTTCTACAAAATGACCACTGATGACCCACTCAAGTCGTAATCCAGGTAGAAACAGAATCAGAGAAAATAGCACCTGAAAATGGAATTTTCCGAGAAAAAATCCTGTAAGGCTCCAAATTGTTCGTCATACAGAAGACACATAGTACTTTCATAATTTCATATAGAAATCGAGAAAATGAAAACCAAGTACAACATAACTCGAAAAACTATAACATTTTTCCAACTTGATTTTTGTTTCTTAGTTTTGAGCCGCGGAAAAAGATTTTAGCAAGTTTATAGGGATGCTCATCCGCTTAGTGTATGTATGAAAATGTACATATCTTGTCCTACAGGAGCGTGCGGGCCATTTTGACCGAGTGGGCGGGGTTTCCAACGGAGTCGGCCAAAAGGGATGGTCGGCCGCCAACGAACCTCAATGCACTTTGACCAGACTTAATCGAGCGATTGGGCGCTGCAATACACTATATAGAAGGTGCTGGGTTCGGGTTGTAGATGCTCTCTTTGTAGACGTCCCTGGCGGCAGGGACCATGTCAGAGTGCCAAAATGGGGTCTTCCCGGCTCGGCAACCGGTTTAATTACCCAACTTTTTGAAAAAAAAGTTTGGGCATAGTTTCTTTTTGTATGTATGTGACCAAGTTGCACCGTAAGACTTTTCTGGAAAAGATTAAATTTCTAGGACAATTGTAAGGTTTCAGTTTTTCGCTCCAAGCTTTGCCTCGATTACGACTTAAGTGAATTTGTGGAAGCTTTTTAGAGCTTACTTTACTCTATCGGATAGTTCCCCAAGTCTGCTAAGAAAAAAAACTATTTGGTTCATTTGAAAGGGATCTTCTTTGACAACCTAATAGATTTCAACAGCTTGATGCAGAGACTCAAAGACTCTAATACAAAGTGAAATCTCTGAAATGTTTAGCACATAGCAGTCTTAAAGTGGCGTTGTCCTCATTCAAGTTTAGGAAGAAATGTTTATTAGGCAATTTATTATACTTGAAATGACATTTTTACACCTAGGCTTACGAGATATAAATAATGAACAGAAACGAAAACTGAAAACTGACCCTGAGTCTGCATATTTCATTGCATACATTCACCTGAAGAGAAATTTTTCATATATCAATGTACCATGTTCTTTTGACAATAACTTTCTGAAAAAGATACATACCAACACCAGTATCATACTTGCTTCTTAATTTATGCAACTATCACTTTGGAAAAGACAATAAAAACGAAACAACAAAGTTATTAATAATGTAACACTATACACTTTTGTGGCATATTCACTGCTATTCTGATGCTAATTTAGTCGTGAATATTTGAATTTTTAAACGCCTTAAACTGTACCACAAATTCAAAATTCAATATCTCAAAGCGAGGAATGCTCATTAGCTTTATGTAATTAGTGTTGAATGATAACTGAGTGTTAAATGATAATTGACTTCCGGAACTTTCAAATACCGAAGATTTTGCGTTCGTGTATCATACGACTTCTCAAAATTCGATGACTCTCAAAATAATAACTTGAAAAATACTGGAAAACCGCTGGAGATGCCACATAAATATTGTGTTACACTTTGTTTACTCTATCCACCTCTTATCACAACTCTTTCAGAAATTGAGAAAGAAAATACTGATGCCAAACTTGTGTGTGTGGCAGAACTATAGGTTCGAAATTTTGGGAATTATTTAGTTTTTTTGATAGGTGGAAGAAAGGAAAGAACTTTTGGAGCGATCTATTATATTCACGAAATCTAAAAAAATGTTCGTACTATATACAGATCATGCCGACTAGCTTTTATTTATGGAGCTTCAATTTCAAGATACCTTTTCAGCTCAGCAATATTCTTGGAGAACTTGATAATGAACAAATTTCAAGCAGATAAACAGTGCAGATGCCACAGATATCACAGAAGTTTTAGATCTACTAGAGCATAGAAAACTAGCAACCATAATTGCCAAGGGCTCAAAACCCAAATTAAGAAATGATAAGAAAGATATATCAGAATGAAGTACAACAACAATACAAAAATTGCAAATCATTATAAACAGATTCAGACTTACTGGTTACAAACGGACGATATAGAGATATTCCAAAAATTGCATAATAAATTAAAATCTCAATTGCTCAAAGTCCAACCAAAATAGGAACTGGGTTATCTCAAAAATATATTTCCGAAGTGATCAGTTTCATTTTTCGTCTGATGATAAATTTCGGAAAACCCAGAGGAGCAAACAGTTAAGGGACCATTCGATGCAGCTCTTTTTCTTTCCTCTTCTATCATTTCTTTGCAAAATACAATAACTCGCATGCTATTTCACCTTATTTCTGGATTTTACGAGTGCGCACTGTTGCGTCCTAGTTTTCGACGCCGAAATTTCACTAGAAAGCGAAGACTGCTCATTTACTTATAGGTTAGTGGTAGTAATATTGGGTTTCGAAACCTTGGTATTCTAGAGATTTGCAGCGTTTGGTGCAATCATGTGGCATGCGAAGTAAGCTTTCTCAAAGTTCATTACATTTATTGCAATTATCCAGAAAAATTTTGAGAAGCAAGTTGAAGAAAGGTTCAGAAAATTGCTTCAACTAGCAGAAGGCTCGCTCTGTCTGCTGGCTATCGAAACTCCTCCAAAAGCCTTCAATAATAATTTTGAAACGGAAACTCAGACTTACTAAAAGAAGAGTCACAAGCTTCGCAACTGTCTCGGCGCTCATCAGAAAAATCGCATTTGCAACCTAGCTGCTGGAAGGAGGAAGAAATCTTACATCGGATACTCTCAAAAGTATTTGTTTATGCTTTACTCTAACGTAACTGCGGGTGGAACTAAAAAACTGACAAAATATTGGTAATCATCATAAATATTGACAGATAGACAATATCATCATTAGTGAAGAAATATCGCAGCTAAAAACATGAGTATTAGTATGAGTACAGCATCGGCGATGTTACAGACACGTTTACTATGTAGTATACCAAATAATGTAATGAAACAAATACTAGACCTTACCTAATCATGCTTTAAGAATGCAAATAAAACGTATATAGCATAAAATGGCTACGTCAAAGTGTATTACACTGGTGAAACCCATATAAAATCAAATTATAGATTTTGTAATGTAGCAGATCTAATATACAACATCGATTATATCCTTGAATAAACAGAAAGATTTCCATGTTGCTTGCTTAGCATTTCACATCCGCATCCGTAACTCGCAACTTTTCAGTCAGTGATGGTTAACTACACTGCAGAGGAAGATCTATGGCAGGATATTCAGAACAGTACTGCAGATAACATTTGCATGAAAGTAAGAAATTATCAAACTCAGTATCCGTTCTATTATTGCTAATTCGCTTATTTAGATTGGCATCAGTGTAGTAACAAATACATATTATCGTACAATGCAGGTTTTTCATATAATCCTGTCAATTTCTTCTGTTGCCTTGATATTATGGGTGCTAAAAATGCATCGAAAAAGACTTGTATTCCATTACAATATTCAGGTAGTAAAATCTTTCTCGTATCATACTCATTTCTAACTAGGTGAAATTACTACAGATTTTGGTTACGTCATTATTTTGTGCGTCATTACTTCATGCTACATTGATGACTGGCTTCCAGGTCAGAGCTTATCATTGGTTTGAATGAAGTTTTGTCAAAACGAAACGAAGAGAGAACTGGAATTAGAATTGAACTACTTTTGAAGTAACTTCAAAAGTAGTTCAATTCTAAATGAATTAAGAGCAAAGTTTGAGGTATGAGCTGGGAGTTGAAACATAGTATAAGTGAGCATACCAACTAGGAAAAAACTGCGGATTGAATATTTTCCACCTGCATTATTAAACAAAAACGACTATATCTTTCAGTGGAGGAAACGATGATCCTGAATGAGGTTCTTGCTGTATAAAGAAGAAGGTTTAGCTGTGGGAACGGCATAAAAACACAGATACATGCGTGTATCAAATGTAAGTTAATGGAGTGTGGCACAACTTCTAAAACTTGTGGCACCCACACATTTCCTAGATTGTGCAATACCCACCCCATTAACTTATATCCAAAGTGGATTTTAGCGAACAAATTATATACGAGTCGATAGCTAAAATCTCCTAGTTTTGGGGAAGTGACTAGAGCTGAAGTCGTATTTTTTCGTTTGAGCAGTAGTTGTTGGAAGCGACCACTTTAAGCAAAAGATGGGACGTATGAGATTTTGCTTGTTCCCATAATTTGTTGGTTATTTGAAGCAGGATGACACGGAAAAGAGCTTGTAATGAGTGCAAAAAGAGGTAGCTAGTTTACTTTAGGAATAAGTAAACCTTTCCCCTTCAGTGGGTAATAAATAACTCAAAATTGGAAACACACAGAATCCGCTAAATCTTGGCCCAGAGGGGCTACTTAATCACGAATATGTTGCTAATTATAATTGGTAGAGCCTTAATGTCATGCTTACGGGAGGCGTAATGCGGGGAGGGGAGGGAAGATACTGAGACAGAACTTACGGGAGGGTCGTTTCCAGTGGTTGTGTGCCACCACCTCTTGCTCGACCCTGGTTCTGAGGCCTATAGGCTTGTCACAGACAGCAATGAGCGCACATCCTCAAGCACATTTTCGTAAACTTGACGCTTAACCAGAACATATCTGACTAACCGACAAAACAATAGTCAACTGGACCTAACTATTCGTTACTTGAGAAATTCCAAAAATGATGAGTGGGAGTGAAGAGTAACTATAAAGGTGCAGACGACAAAAAAGCTGGCAAGCTTATCCATGGTGTTCGAAAAGTAAGCGCACACTTTCGATCGTTAATACCCCTCCTTGGGTCTTTTTTTTGTGCTATTCAAGTACCATTCTGTAGAGGAGGTTTCAACTTATTTTTACAGTAATCACCAATCGCTCTTCGTTACTGCAAGGTTACGGTAAGAACTTCCAGCATGTGGAACCATTGCGAAATATGCCATCTGACAAAATTTTTTTCAAATAATCTGAAAGATTGTTTACTAGGATTCTCGCGCAAGCTGATTCCATTGCACAACTTTTTACGAGCATTTTCAGCTTTTTTGACGGGTTATTCAATATTTCTGATAAGCACTGGGATTTCGGTTATTACGGTTTACCTGGCATAATTTTGGAACGAAGCATCAGAGTAAAGTGGAAATTTCATATTTGGAATCAGCGGCTTCCATTATCATAGTATGAGGGTTTTTGGCTTGTTTGGTTTTGTTCGGGCAGAATATGGCTTCCATGGCTTAAAATCCTTGTCAAAGTTCCTACAGTAATCCTACAGTAATAAAGAGCTATCGGTGATTCGCTCGACACTGTAAATCTAAGTTGAAGCCTCCTCTACAGAATGGTACTCAAGTGGCGTATAAAGATACAAAGGGAAGAGAGATATTAACGATTGAAAAGTGTGTACGTACTCTTGGAACACCCTGTATATAGTGAATTATAGGTCCAATCAGAAAGACCTGATCAGGTGCATATGTAACAATGGACCGTAGTGAAAAGCTGGAGAGACGAAATAAAATGAGTGGTTTAGTATGTTATCCGAGCGCCCAATCGCTAAGCTTTGACGTTTTCAAAGTGGAATGAACATGCGTACAATGTTCATTAAAGTGTTCTGACTCTGCTGGTCCTGGTCATGTTCAATTCAAAAAAGTTGTAGGTCTATCAGCTGATCTTGTCTTACACCTACGTAAAGCCTTGCGATGTCATTCTTTCGCCGCTATTCTTTGCTCTTATCCATATGCCCTTTATCTTTTCAATTCTGTGGATTGAGGCAGCACAGGTAAGTCAGACGATTGAAAAACCTGGTAATCCTCTTTTTCTAGGTTGTGATGCTCATGGAGAGAGCGATAGCAATATATCACGTTGGGAATTATGAAACTTGTGGGAGAAAGCTTGGCAACTCTCTTTTTCTGCTATCCGTAAGTATGATAGCTACTCCGTTTCCTTGTAATCTGCAACTCTGTTGAAATCGCCTTTTCTAGGTGCTGATTCCTCTACTTGAAGGTGCGTGGGCTTACGCCGATGAGCGTTTTGATAATCCGGAAATCAGCTGCATCAACACTCCTGTGAGCAGAACGACTCAAGTGAACACTCTCTTCGCCCTCTCGGTTGTGTTTCATATGGTCGCACTCATCACATTATCAACGATGTTCTGCTTTCACAGAAAAAGTTCCAGGTGAGCACATTCTGCATTTGCACTGCAGAAAATGTATTAGCGAAGACAGACTCTGGAATGGACCCTGGAAGTCATACTCGCTGCCATTCATTCGAGTTACCACGATTGCAACTGCGTATATTTACCTTGAAATACGATATCGCTCATACTTTGTCAATGCACGTAACGTATTGAAACGGTACCTACATATCAGAAGCCCAACCAAGAATCGATAGGTGCCTTTGAATTCAGCACTCGCTCACTCTGAACCAGTTTATGGCGGTGCGATGCGGACTTCGGTGAACTCCACAACTCCACCGGAGTTCACCAAAATCCGCATTGCAAGTGAGCGACTGCTGAATTTAAGGGCACCTATCGATTTGGCTTGGCTAGAGCATATTGTGATATATAGTTACCGTTTCAATACGTTATGTGCACTCCAGGAGGTCAGATTTCACTAATTTTCTCAAATTTTTGCTTGCGGTAGGTTGCATGTGTGTATTCTTGCAGAGTAATTCTACCATAAGCAAAAATCTGTGAAATCTAACCCCCTGCCGTACCCAGATGGGCAGGGCATTCCTGCGTGCCAGAAGATGCATCTCACGGCACTTTTGGCTTCTTATGATCATTCCCAATCAAGATACAGTATTGCGAAATCGGTTGCGGTGAACCCCGATGGAGTGCGGTGATTTATGTTGACGAATTATGGGCGTGTACTTCTCTTTGTTACCACTCGTCGTTCTTGTAGATGATCTTGCATTTCGTGAATGAGAACAAAAGCTACTGAAGGAAGTATGAGATCATAATTTACATCATACGTACGTACCTGTATCTTCGCTTCTGTTGTCTACTATTGCTTTTTGTGGTTAGCTATCATGGTCGCTCGGAGTGAAGTCAACTTATTTGAAGAGATTGTAATCATCCACAATTCATAGTTTTAAAACAGTGACTAGGCAAAATTCAAAACTCTGGGATTCTGATGCATGAAATGGCTCCCTGCCCACAAGATCAATTTCATATTGAAAAAGAAGTATTAGGTTGTCTCAAAAGTAGACCGTATTTCTATATAAATCAAATTGTACTTGTTTTTCTGGCAGACTTAGGGTACCATTCGATAGAGCGAAGCAAGCTTCACAAAATGACCACCAAAGAACCGTCTAAGTCGCGATACAGGCAAAATTTGGATCCAAAAATCAAATTTTTTCAGCTGCCCTAAAAATCGGATATCTTTCCGGAAAGCTCCTTCGGACTTCCAACTTGGTCTTTATATACTAGACACATAATAGCACCCAAAAATATTTTTGGTTGATTTTTTTTTCGGAGCTAAAAATTGAGAAACAAAGATTGTCCCAAAGTTCCAAAATACCACTTTTTTCGGTTCTTTCATGTAAAACTTGGTATTTCTCGATGATAAAAGCATATACAGGGGTAAAGTTTCGAGATCATACTTATAAGGCTTGTAGTATACAATGGCATATGTGAGAGGGGCTGGGGGCGGAGTTTGCCATTCGAAGGCTATGCTTACAAGGGAGTGGTCAGAAGTCGAAGTGGCCAAACCAACAAGCTGCATACCATTTGATGCAGCATAAAATGCTGATTTCAAATCTGTCTTCCATACCTGCAGAGCGCCTTTGTAGGCGAAGTTATGAGCAGCTTTACTGCGAAAAAACCGTATACAAAAATTGCAAAATTAGGCGCATTATTGCCCTTTCAGCTCAACTCTAGGTACGGGTCATATGATGTGACCTAGTTGCAAGTTTTGGTCCGACAGTGAGCTAAGAATGGCTTTGTACGGCCAAGTTTGCACTTTACATGCCCAATTTCTTAGCAAAATAATGGCCTTCAACGGCTTATAATTTCGTCCATAAAAGCGCTCTGCAGATAAGGAAGACAGATTTAGAGTCAGCGTTTTATGCTGCATCTAATGGCATGCAGCTTGTATGAATTGGCCACTTCGACTTCTGACCATTCCCTTGTTAGTAAAGCTTGTAGTACAAAATGACATATGTGGGAGGGCTGGGTACGGAGTTTGCCATTTTCAGACTATCTCATTTTTCTAACTTTTTAAGCTCGACAAAAATCCAGTAAAGGCATATTTGAGTACTATTAGATGTCTATTGTGGACCAAGTTTGAGCTTCTATTATTCTTCGCAAAAATCCAATTTTCAGGAATAAAATTTTTTTTCGATTTTCGCTCCAAACTTTACCTAAATTATGACCTAGGCGGATCTTTTGCAGTCATTTTGTAGAGCTTGTTTCCCTCCTTCAAATGGTACCCCAAGTCTGCCAGAAAAACAAAAACATTTTGATTTATTGAGAAGTACGATCAATTTTTGGACAACCTATAGTAGTAGAACTAGGACACTTCAATTTACAGGTCGGATTTTCCCTTTTAGAGACAGCATTAAGAGATTGCACCGACGCAGAAACTTCATTTTAGGACATGCCTATAGATTACGTAGTAATTTTTAGGGCATAATTTTGAGTGGATGCTGCCTTCAGTTGCTATACGGGACATTTTACACTAGGCTACGCCTTTTTTGCCTCTCCTTCACGGTGTCGCTACATAAGCTGCATGGTTTTGTTGTTCGTTGATACTTTCGAAATTGATTCAGGTTTGATAGAGCAGGGTCTGGTTCCAATAGTCTCCAAAATGGATATGCACCATATTGAAATTGTGACATTCACGCTCGGTTTATCAAAGTGACAAGTCTATCTCTATGAGTAGAGAAACCTTCTTGGTTCACTAAAATGCATACATTTAAACCTATGCTTATACTAAAATTTGGCAAGAACATATCATGGCCAGATTTTAATCTAAGTTATAAAATCAACTTAAAGTTTCCAGCTCGGCACAGACGCTTTCGAGTAGATTCCAGTCTTCCGAAAATCTTACGTCGTCACGGCTTCTTATAACACTCTCTGCAATACAACTTGTCGTATTCTTTTCGTATGGAGGTTCTATAATGTATCTGAGGATGACCTTCAATTCTAACACCGATCTTCCCATATATAGATCAAATATTCTTGCTGCTTATGTAAGTTTCTGTGTATCTGCCATATTTTCACCAGCTCAAGATTTTCTCAAAATTAGGCTGACATCATAGCAGGAAATGTCCGCAAATTTTCTGTGTCATGAGCTTTTAAGGTTAATTTACAGTTAGTGCCGGTGTACACATTTCTTCTACCACTGATGACCACTATATTTTTGCGGAGTATGAAGCAGACTAGAAAATCTGAGATAAGATCAATGATTGAGGTGCGTGCTCATCTTCAACACTTTCTCTCTTTTTTATTGCACTAATTTCCAGATCAAGGCGTCAGGCGCCGAAGGTTGGGCCAATTACTCGAGGCAGCTAGAGCGACAGTGGAACAGCTAAAATATTGAAACTTTGGCAGGAATGACCCTAGTAATGTTTATAATAAGTGCAATGTTTGAGGAAGTATTGAAATAAATTTTACGGTACTGTTATAAAAGAGACGATTTTGTCTGTCGATGCAAAAATATAGTTCGAAGGGCGGCGTGGCAGGAGTTCCCAAAGCCTCGCCGACAGTCCTTGCAGGAGTGATTAGCACCTTCAGAGAAACCTGGAAGGGACATCACACCTTCACAGATCAAGGAACGGCTCCGCCTTTTTCTCCGCCTTCTAGGTGCGCTCATTCTAGATTGTGCAAGCGCAGTGGAATCTTTGTATTTATAAAAAGTGAGGACCACTTAAGCTGATTCGAGAAATTTCGTTAATCGAATTCAATTTCCTTTCAAACATTAGAAACAGCGAATGAGTGCAGATAATTTCACAAAATCTTGGTTACCAGCGTTAGTTATGTCTTAAAGAAAAGTAAAAAAAAGAAAATATGAACAGCATATTAGAGTGAAGGGAACCGAAAACTCGTTACAAATTAATTTTTTTCTATTGTCGAATCTACGAAAAGTAGATTTCTAGCCTTCGATAAGTACTGCCATTTGGGAAGTCGAACGCTGAATGCCCTAAGCCAGCATCTAAATTGGCTACCCAATATGTAAATTTCGAAATCTTCTAGTGGTATAACCGATTTTCTTCAAGAAAATGCACAAGTGATTAATTTTTATTTATATTAGGTCGCTCCGAAAATTCACGCTTGCATCTTTCTGGCATGCTTTCTAGAATTACTAAAATTTATTTTCTGAAGTGATTAAATAATATTTGGCTCATCAACCTCGCAGAACCAGACGCTGAACAGTTTAGGCACTATTCGATGCATCTTTTCCTCCTCTTTCTGACAGCTACCTCTTCTTTGCGAGACGTGTGATTTTTGCAGACAAAATTGCTGTAATTTCCAATTTTACGGGTGCGCAAGGGTGTAGTGGAAATTCCAAAATCAATCCATTTTCACGCCATAATCGCTCACTTACTTCGTAATACTAGTGATAGTAATAATCGAGTTCCAGAACTTCAATATTTTGGGGATTTCGCAGTGTTTGGTGCAATTATGTGTCTTGCAATTCTTTCAAAATTCAATGCTCTCGTGAAATAATTCAGCAAAATTCTACAGAGGGGGTTGAAATAATGCAAAAAGTTGCATTAATTTGCAAAAGGTTTGCCCTATAAGGTTATTAGAGCGCCTTCAGAAACTCAAACTGAAAATTCTAAAAATTAGCGAAAGTTAATGGTAAAAATGATGGGCTCTAGTTTTCGGCGATCATCTCGGTGCTTATCGAAATAGTCACAACGAAAACATAGCCGTTAAAAAGAAGAAGAAATTCTGCATCGGATAGTGCTTACAGCGTTTGTCTATCTTTCAAGTGTTTTGAGCATGGGTTCTGAAAAACTGCGCGAACTTTCGGAGCGACCTAATATTTTTGAACAGCCAATTTTTCATTCTAAACAATCAAATTTTCAAATCGAGCTATCCAGAGAGTGGCAACATATATTTCGAGATAGTTTTTTATATCTGAGCTGGTAACCGCCAATTTGAAAAAAAAACTGGGCGCTGCAATCATACTAAAGTTTTATACTAACTTGAATAAAGCGTACTTATTACTGAAGTTTGTAATCAGTGAACACATGTGCATAGTTATTTCCATATAGATCAACTATGAAATGACTTCTTTTTTCCAATTTTTTCGTTCTCAATACTTCAATTTCTAATTCTCTCTTGCTTATCTTACAATGAGGGCAGTTAATGGGTGGAGCAATGGGCGGTCCCTGACCTCTGAGATGCGGAGGTGCTAGAACCCTCCTGGGTGCGATTGATGGTGCGAACTTGATGCGAGGGAAGATGCTAGGAACTCTTGCACGCCCTCCAGTTCGAAGTTCCTACTGGCTGTGGCTCTGTGATCTCTTACGAGCCTCATCATTTTTCCAGAAAAATGCAAATGACAGTAGGTCGCCAGCTTTTGTTTTTTAGCTTATCTATGTACACAAGCGAACTATGGATTATATGACGCTTTGACAAAAGCATGACATCGACAACCAGATTTGAAACCGTTAGCAAGTGCTAGGCAAGTGTTTGTTCACTAATTATACATGCTTTAAACCAGTCTTCAGACGTTTCACTGAGACTGCTATCGCTTGCTGCTTGTACTTTCTTGTTGGCTATAGAATATGTAGTAATAACTCACAATTCTTGTTTCTTTTAAGATTGGCGAAGGGTGAATTTTCTTGTGATCCTAAGATCAAATGTCTAACTGTGAACATAGAAAATAAAAGAAAAGCACAAACTCATGTTGATCTGTATTTCTTCAGTTGCAAAAATTTGTAAGACTGTTATTTATAAATTCGGAGCTGCAGTTTACAGAAAAAAGTGTGAAGTAAGTTTTATAGTGCTCTGATCTTCTAATCGAATGAGTTTAGCGTACTGTCCACACTGATTTTTTTCCCGAATTCTGATCTGTTATCAAAGCTATGTGGAAGAAAGCACGGCATTTGCTACCACTATCTATTTTCCTGTATTTTTCTACCCCGAAGAGAAAAAATCTTACCGTGCTCACGCACTCAACCTTTTAGACTAATGAGTAAGGCTTCTCAACCTCATGTCAAGCTGTTCCAGATTATGTCAGTAGATTTGCCTTGAATGAGCAGTTATCCATTGTGATTATTACTATGGGCAGATCAGCTCCTTTTCTGCTGTCATGAATCATTCATAACAAAGCTGTATGAAAGGGTTAACAAAACGTTTTGTAATTATATCGCTGTCAGTTCGATTGATTTTCCCATAGCCGAATGACGCCTGAAATTATGTATTTGCGCCTGCTCCGATTCTATCGGAAGCGAAGAGATAAACTAAGGTCAGCGCAATTTGTAATTTTGCTTCGAAGCTTCCTTTGTTCCTTTCTATCTCTTCTGAGCTGATATTCTGGGGAATATAGATGCCATGTAGCTATGGTTTTTATTTTTTTATTATGAGATATTCTTGCGAAATCGGTAATGCATCCGTGGAGGACGATAACAGAAACAGGCAGTTGAATTCTTTGAAAATTCGACACCATGTCTGTTCTTCCTTTGCTCATTTAATCTACAACTATATTTCGTCTCTAGACGGTGTGACATTACGGACTAAGCATCAAAGAGTCCAAGAATTGATTCAAAGTGGAAAATGGCCCTTTCTTTTTAGCAGCGCTTACGTTGCAACTATAATGGAGGTATAAGAGAACCTCAAAATCTTTGAAAGTGCCTTGTAATTTTTTCTTCTGAAAGCTCGTGTAAGAGTTGACAAACATCAGGCTATCTTTCTGGCAAGTTCGGTTGGTATGTCGTGATTGTCTGAAGCTGAAGCACCAAGGTTGATAAAGTAAATTACAAATCAAATTGACGTTTTTTTCGTTTTCGTTTCGCCTTTTTCAGCGTTTGAAATGCCAAATCCCTTCAGCAACCTATCCCACCAGACACCTGTCGACTATAAAAGAAAAGACCAAAATTTAAAAACAGTACGAGAGTTCCAATCAAAATCACACGGTTAAGCTATTATTTCTCTTATAGCGATACTTTAGAGGGTTGCAGACCACTTCTGCCAAAAGCTGTACCGCTAAACTCCTTATAATTACCTAGAGAACCAGTCTCAACCTGACCCCAATACTCAGAACCCACAAAGAGCTCATTAGTGATCGGGGCATTTGCACTTCCAGTTGGTTTTTGGATTTCGCAGGATTCCATAACGTCACCGTTCTTGTCGCTGGCCGCTCTGGTCTAAGCGTATCAAGAAGGCCAAGGAGGAACAGAAAGAGCGCATTTGCAATGTTCCTGAGCCACTGCCTCTAAAGGCAGTGTCTCACCAAAATTTAGTTGTCGAGATTTTTGCATTTTGCAAGCCTGTCGAACCCTGTCTAGCACTGTATGGGCTTAAAATCGCACGAAGTTCCCAAAAACCCTGTTTTCTAGAGGCCCCGCAGAAACAACGTGGACGAGCTGTGCCTTCCAACTTCAACCTCAGCCACAGTGGCAGCAACAGAGGGGAGGTGGATGCCAAGTGGAGGGACATGTTCAAACGCGTAAGGGGGGAGACCGAAGGAGTCGTCCGCGCGTACCAACTCGCTCTCCGCGTACCACTTTGAGCGGATTTTTCTCAGCGTGGAGGGGGTCAAATTGAGTGGACTTATTGCAATGGCCTATTTAGAGGTCCCTATAATAGAATATGTGAATCCGCGCGACCTCAACTTTAGTGAGACACTGCCTTTGAGATATCGGGTTCGCACGCCGCGATTCGAGCATGGACATAGTTCCGCGTCGTTATGGCAGGCCAGTGACGCATGCCTAACGGTGTAGACAACACCTGATGCCATGCATTCTCCTCTTACTAAACGGACAGATTACGCAATATAAAGTTGTGCCTGCGGAGCCTATTGCTTGTGCAAAAGCTGGCGTCTGAATTGTGAGTTGTACAGGGTTCTCGACAACCTCTACCATGTCGTTGATTTGTGCTTGTTGAAGTATTAAATTGATGCAAAAGATCTTGCTTAATTCTTTAGATACTGAACCTAAATGCATGCTCAAATCCGCTCTATGGCAGATGTTCAAATGTGACGTTCATTGCTGGTCACCGGGATTGAAGCTTCGAAAAATGGCTACTTAAAGTTTGCGGATTTGAGTTTGATGCTAGAAAATCGCGGAAGATAGCTAGCATGTCAGAGGAATTCATAAAAATCTCTTACGCAGCAAAACTCCATAGGTCGATTTCGGAGGCTTCAATCTCGTATGGAAATACAAAAAATAAAAATTCATGAAAAATGTCATTTTATAGGAAAAATCCTCTAATCGCCGCAGTTTTCCTACGAACCACAGTTCAGAACCAGAAATAATGCCTAATGCCTATTTTGAACATTTTGACGCTATTTGATGCATCAAACAGTGTTCTTCTGGAAAAACTGCACGGATAGGAGGATTTTTCCTGCAAAATACATTTTTTTATCAATTCTTCATTTTTGCATCCCCATACGAGATTGAAGACTCCTAAATCAACCTGTGGACTTTTGCTGGAAACTTTTGTATATTTTTTGGACGAGCTTGCGGCCCAAGCCATTTTCTAGCTCCAAACGTAAAACCGCAAACTTTATAGTTACTGTTGTAAGGCTTCGTTCTAGGCCAACTCATAGAATGTTTCGCTTAAATACCTTCATAAAACGGAAGCCTTGAAGATTTTTGAGATAGTTGAAAGTACGTTTGGTAGTATCCGGAGAGTTTATGATTTTTCGAATTACGCAAGAACTTTGGCACCAATCCAATATTTAGCGGAATCCTTAATAACTCAAACTTATGATAGGCACCGACAAAATGCAAGCAGGAGCGACGAGCTTCTTCGGTGTATTCGCTAGAAATTCATGTTTTGCGAGCTTTAATGAGATCTTTGCCTTTCTACTAGAGAGACCAACATCAGTTCTAAATCTGCTTCTTACGACGTTTTTTGATTCATCCAAGAGTCATCAATAGTCGTACTTGAACTATCGGACAATGTTCGGTTGATTGTTCTTGAAACTTTGCAGATATCATCTGTTAGGTCGATATAGCAATATAAGTTTTGAAGGTAAATATGGCATTCTGACGATGAAGTTTGGAAGTCAGCAATGATTTCGTTAGGAGGGACTAACCTGTTCTTGATAGGTACTTATCCTAAAAATCAGGAATTTCTATGGCACAAATTCCGAGAATTTCTGATGGTAAACAATGGTTGCACTTCCATTTGGTAACGATTTGTTCAGCAATCATATTTAAAAAGACTCCTCCTAGAAACAGATCGCTATACAGGGTATTTGGGAAGCACCTGGTCTGAAGTACTTCCACTTTACACGCTTTTTGTTTTATTGTGCTCATCAAATCTAGAAACCATCATTTCAGCAAAAATCAAATTTCTTTGGGGTTTCTTTGAGTTTTAGGTTGAAACGCAGTCAATATAGCTTTAAACGCCTCTTTCTTATGCTTATTACAAAGAAGAAAACATAATCTACAAAAAAACTTCACACACCTCCTAAGCTCTTTCTTCTTTCTTTCTTACATGTGCTTTCATTTTTGTAGAAATGGGTTCGATTAGAAATACAAGAGTACAAGGAAAGAGTAGAGTAGAGTACAAAGAAAGACAAAAGATTCTCGCGTTATTCTCAGCAAAAGAATTCGCTCAGAATTCCTTCATCTTCGAGAACTCTAAAAGCGTGTACAATTCTTGATAACGATATTATATTGAAAGCTGTTCTACAAGTACAGACTAAAATAAGACATCCAACAATTTTCGAAACTAATAGAATTTCAACGCAAACTTGCATGGCTTTCTGCTGTACTTTAGCTACATGACAATTCCTTGTTCGCAAGCTAGTGGAGAACTTCAGTTACATCAGAAAGCTATAGATATAGGACTTTTTCGGTTTCTCGGTGTTGAAATACGCAGAACAAAATATGCACCTTCATGCTTCTTCAAGAAAACTGGAAAAACTGGTTACCTCCAAATTTTCTCGGAGTATCCTGGAATAAAAAATTTTTTCTTGATTGATAGTAGTCTTTAGATTAAGCGAACACTTAGTAAATCAAAAAGCGAGTTAGAATTTGCAATCGAAATACTTGAGGCCAGATATTTGCAGACACCGTGTACTATTTTGTTTTTCAAAATTTTCTGCAGTCTTCTTGACTTCCTTCCTCAACCTAATCTAAATGAACTTCAAGATCACAACCATAAATGGTTTGCTTCCAACTTTCGACAGTCCAGCGTGGATAGCCCCAACTTTACAGGATTCGCTTCTAATTCTAAAGAATCTATGTGATCCCACTGTTCAGTATTTTAGAAGATCATGCGAAGAGGGAAGCCCTCTCATGCGTCAATCCTTTTTTCTTTTCGTTATCAATCACATTGCCAGCCGACGAGTTAGAAACAGTCGGAGACTGATGGACTCGAAAGAGGAATGAAAACATATTTGTTACACATTAGTGGACGCACTTTGAATTTTCGAGATAATCGGAAGCTAGTTTTAGTGTATGTGTGTATACTAGTTAAGGTCTTACAAGATGTTCCAATAGTTCATGACCGCCTCAAATGGAAAAATTGATAATAATCATCTTATTAGCTTTAGCAATATCTGCTTAGGTAAGTAAGCATGCTTAATCCTCTATCCAGAATGCGTGGCAAATTTTCTGGGTTTCTTAATGGTATTCTGGGTTACACTTGGAAGAATGACAAGAGAAACGGAGCATAAACAGAGTGCTAACTACATTACAGTCAAAAAACGGCAACATTTTCGAGAATACACGTCATTCCCTTAATCATAACAATTGAAAACTTAAGAGTCTTAAGTTCTGCAGTTATAATCATTTTGCATCTTCGGAGCACCAACATAACGATTTAGCCCTAAACTCGATATCGCAACTTTTTGTTTGTACCTTGCAGAGATGCTGCTTTTCGCTCTACTGCAAATTTGGGATCTCGAATTCTAAGAAGCAGTACATGTATGAATCTATCCATAATGTGAGTTCACAGTTCGTTTTTGTCTTCTTTCTGTGTAACTAGTCTTTGAGTAGCTGACGAGAAGTGAGAATATGATAGAGAGAGTAGCATCGACTTTGCATCATCTAAAGCAAAGGCTCTGGAAAAAGCAAAAGCTTTCGGAAAGCTTCTTCTAAGCATACGTTTGGCCCGAAATGGTGTGTGCCACACATTTTGATTTTACGTTTCTTCCTTTCCGGAACGGCTCAATAAATCCCTAGAAGAATACAGCTGTGAAAAGCTTGAGTTGAAGCGTTTGTGAAAGTGTGCTATTTCACAAGCCGCTCTTGTGGTTCACATTCATTGAACTACTATACACCCTTTAGTCAG